CTCATTCTTTAATTACAACCTTGTATTACTAAAGTTAAGATTCTGCTATCACACAAATGGTGTTCTCTTGGCAGTCTAAGCTTCTATATTAATTTCAAAGTAAGTCAAACTTTGAGACTTCTAAAAGACTAGAAGTTTATAGTTACTATTCCTCCTTTTTCCTATCACAGAAATAGGCTCTTAATCATATTCACACCCATGAAATCTCTTCTTGAAAGGCACAAAGAGGTATGATTCAAATTTCTTTCATGAAAGAATATGCATTGACAGTATCTGACCACTATAATCCAAGCTACACAAAGTCTAAAACAACTATAATGGGACATACATTAGTGGCCATGGTTAGGCACACTAAATGACAGAATCACAGGTCAGGAAGACTCAGATGTATTAAAAAATAATTTGAGCATCTAGTCCTTTATATATGATTGTGATAAACTCAGACTGAAACCTGCCTATAAACCTCATTCCCTAAACACTACTTAGTTCTGCTTACTTATGTCTTATACTGACAAGCTGTATTATATATACAACCAAGAGTTCAGTTCTAACACCCTCTGAAGTTTTTATCTTTGGCTACCTTTGAGGTAGCGCAATGATAAGCAAGTTTAGGTTATTTATAATAAAAAGTCATTCATTACCTTTAAGTATTTTAAATTCTCAAATTCTCCATTAAATATCTCCAAATGACCACACACGGTTTAAAAGTTCAGAAATTTTGTTAAAAATTCTAAAAACACAAATGCTTCCCTTATGTCACAACCTTTACATGATAAATGTAATTGTCCCACATAGTCTATCTCTATGAACTACACCAAAGAGGCTGGATAAATATGTTCTGAATTTCATAAAGGATCAAAAATCATAATATACCCAATCCATTTAAAAGTATTATATGGTTTTGGACTCTGAATTTTATTTCAAAAGTAGTACAAGGCCAGAATATGAGGCTGGTGACAACTTTGGAAATCTATCAAATGCATAAGGTGAAAGAGAAAAAGTGAAAAGGGAAAAGACAAAAGTAAATAAACTTTCCACTTTGCACAGCCTTTTGAAGTAATGTAATCATTCAGTGAACCAGTTAATCATTTGAAAGTAACCATTCAGATTTATCTCCCTACATGAATTACATTATTTATGTGATTTCCACACCTTTTGGAAGCTTAAAATATTTGTGTTTATTAAAGTAAAAATGCTATGAATTAAAAATTACACTGATTAAAATTATAGAATCTTGGGCACTTAGTAGAAACTAAGATGGGTACCACTTTAGAATTAATTTATGTAAGTATTAAAAATAGTGCAAAGAGCAGTTTTATATAAATATTACAGAAGGCTGATGTGTCATGCCTGGTACATGGTCCCTTCTGAACCTGCTTATTGTGTCTGATTCTCAATCTTGATCTGTTTCAATGGCATGGGGTGGGATATAATGGGCCACTTGATTACAAACACAGACCTTCTACTGAGATATCATCTGCATGATGTGTTAACATGTTAAAAAACACCTGAAATCTTCCCCCCTAATAATAATGATAAACACACCCTTCTCAACACAAAAAAACATTTTTCATTTTCACTGATGGCATATAGCTTCTTCAGATCCTTTTCCTTTCACAGTTAATTCAACTACAAATAATAAGACTTAATAATGACTCAACATAAAACAACTTCTTCCAGATACTCTTAGTGTGATCAATTCTCTATAAGGACTATTCACGGTTAACTTGAATACCATCACAACTTGTCAAAGAGTCCCAATATCTAAAGGGTTTAACATTTATATTTCAGTCATGGCTCCACGGCCAGGAAAACAAACATCATGGTAGACTCCTGCATTCTTCACATTGTGCTCATGGACAAAGTCAGTGTAGTTTCTATGTGCCGGCTGGGGTGGGGACAAGGCCCTTGTTTTCCACTGGTTTCCAGCACGTTCACAGCAGTCACTGGCAGCAGAGAGCCTGGATGGTTGGGGAGTGGGAGGGTAGCACAGTTAGTCAACAGGAAAAGGAGAAAATAGATGTGTAAGAGGTAAAGGAGAAAGGCAATGTGACCAGCATGCACCAAGCTATGAGTAGTTATCAACATCTACTCCAGGTAATAACATTCAAGAAAAACAAAGGGAAGGAAATTCAAAGATACATGCAGTAGAAAATGCCAATATGGCACTATGTATAAGTAATCAGACAGTTTAGTGAATGAAGAAGAAATTTCACAGAGAAGATGACACTCTGTATCTGTCCCTGATGTTGCAACCAAATTGAATTCCATTATTTAAATTTTTGAATAATTGTATGGAAAGGCAAAGAAATATCGTGAAATGGCAACTTTGGAAAGTATTCCTCAAATTAAGTGATTTATACAAAAATTCAATCTAGGAAACCAATTCAGAAAGAGCATTAAAATAATCTAGCCTCAGAGGCCATTTTACAATATTCTCTGTTAAAAATGAAGAATTACTGTTCTTCTGTAACCACAATCCACAGAATCTCAAAACGAAATTCAACAGGCACAGATAACAAGATTAGATTGCAAGCCCCTTCCAATAAATAGCTTAATAAGCACATTAGATACATTCTACCACACATAGCTTAAGAATCAGCATATAGAAAACTATGAGAGGAAACATGCATAGGGACAGTTCTTGGCTGGAAATGGTCAGAGTCCTCCAGTAGAAAAAAAAAATCTGCCATTGTTCAGAAAATTACATTTTGAGACATGGCAAAAGGACAGACTGTATTTAAGATTACTATATAGAAAAAAATCCTCCCAACTACAAACGATGTCAAAGGGCAGATTTTAAACTCAACCAAACCAATAATCTTTACCTTTTTTCCTCAGGAAACTTGAAATTAGCTAAAAGAATTTTTCAGAACATATTGAGACTTTTTTTTTTTAGATCAAATGATCTTCCCTTCAACTGAAATACAATTTATCAGATTAACCATAAAATTCATAACCCTCAACCTAACATTCCTACAAATTTAGAAAGTGAGGTTTATATTGCCCTTCTGGGGCAAGATATTCTAAGTTTGGTGAGCTGTGTTTTTGTTGTTTATATATGTTTTATGGATTTAAAATACATAAATTTTTTTTAAAAGGGTTACTTTAAAACGTGGACAATTCTAAGTTACTAATATGCCAAATCATTCACTAAAATAATGGTGCTGTTTATAAGATCTCACCCCCCCCCCAAAAAAAAAAGCCAGGGAACTGAAGAGTAGGTATAGATTAAATTGGTTAAAAGTTACCTGTCAGAAATAAACTAGTTCATTACTCTGCCCAGTTGTTCAAATCTAGATAATGCTTCCAAATTTTTTAATATCACTTTCTAGAGGAGGACTGTTTCAAGTATTAAGAATTAAAGCAAAGAATGATCTGGAGAATGTGTTTTAAATTTAGGCTGGGAACCTCTATGTTCAAAGACATGTCAGTTCTACACTCAGTTCTATGCCATTGTTGACATATACTGAGGCTCAATAGGTTTTAAGGATCACCTTTTTACTCCATTTCAGCAAAAGAAGTCTTAGGACAATTGCATAATGGAAGGGACACATTAGTTCTACATTTTTCATTGTTCTTGATACTTAATACGCTTAGATTCAGTATTCTCTCTTTTTAAAAATCTGCAAAGGAACTCAGGAGTGCCTAATGACTCCAATTAAACATTTAAATATGTACCTATTAAAAACTGAAAACTCATTTTTATACCCTAATACAAGATACAAACAAGATTCATATTAATACAAAAAATAAACATGTACCAAGGGAACTCCTAAGGGAGTTCTTTTACAGTTAAAAGTATCAGTATTATGTTTCCTTGATGTTACCACCCAAGCCTAAATACAGGTGCTTTGTGAACTCATGTTTTCATTAAGAAATGGAAGAAACATTTTTTTATAGCTTAAGAAATAAAGACTAACATTTGACAATCAGTTTAAGGTGTGCCTGCATGTATACAAACACAAAGTACCCACACCACACTCCATGCAGAAAGGAAAAAAAGAGAAGAGAAAAATCAGGGGGAAATTCTTTCAACTTTAGAAATTAATCTCACATAATTTGAAACTGAAGTAAAATATATTTAAGCATCAAGGAAAAATGCGAAGCACCTTGCAGTTAGTTATGCCAAAATAACAGTGAAAAATAATTACATGGCAAAGACTGAAAATATTCACCAACCACTGTTGACCCACCACCATGAAGGAAGAACTGGTTGCACAGAAAGCTGACCAAAACCTTGAGATCACCACAGAAACTCATTAGATTTCAGGTACTAAACAAACTAAGAGCAAGAGAAAAAGAGAAAAAAATCCTATAAATTATCAAAGTTCATTTCACAAATAGACACAAAACTTGAACAGATGATGTAACCAACATGATCACTCAATCAAATAATTCCCAAGAAGCCTCCTCCACCAAGCCACATTTATTTATTTGGGGAAGGTTAAATCCCACTGATTAACCCCAAGAAGTCACAAAGTATCCATATTTGTGTACTTACTATTAACTTAAAAAAAGACCCTAGAAAAATAAATGACTTATCTTCTCTGTCATCAGATTATCTCTTCATCATCCAAAATAGAACGCTTTGTTTATTGGCCTATCATTGAGTGTCTTTTCAGTTTTAGTCTTTAATGAAGAAAATACATCTAAACCATCATGTGGTATGAACTATCATGGAATGGACATATTTTCCTTATCGATCTGGGAAAGGCTTTTATTCCCATTTTTAATGAGAAAAAGCCATTGGTCCCATATTATACTAACTAAAACAAGGACCGTTTTCTGATATTCCTCTTTTAAACAAATGCATTTCTTCTTATCCATATCATTTATTTTCCTATCTCAGTATGACTGCTCAATAGTGTTTCTTTTTTAGCTTACAAATATGAATAATTTGCTTTTAATCATATTTGAAGTGCTCCAAGTTTATAGCTCAGAATTTAGAATACCATTAAGCAAGCAGTGTTTTATTTTGGTTTAAGGAGTTAACAAACCATTTCCTGTCATGCTGGTCTGTTCCAGGACTCCTTGGAAGATTCTCTATCTCCACCAGCATAGGACCGGAGGGAACAGGAGAAACCACAGGCAGAGTAGATCTCACTTCCCAAGCCTTGGGAAACAAATTATAAAAATCATATATTTTGCCAAAGTAAAAGATCTTTTCATCAATAAATACAACTTCAAAACAGATTTACATAATCAATATATTGTAAAGTGCTGAATGTCATATACCACATTAAAGATAATTAATCTAACTGAATACTTTTATTTTATTTATTTTTACAGGATTTACAGTGACAGGAAATGTTTTCTAAAGTACTTGTTCTATTAACAATGAATTAGAAAATTAAGTCAAATATAAAAACAAATAAGGGGGTTTTAAGTTATTAAATCACCTTACAGATAAGGAAAAGAAAATACATAAAATTTATCCATTGTTACACCGCTCTGAGAATTTAATTAATAGTACTATTTTTTTTAACCATAATTAACTACAGTGGTCTTATGTTTTAGAAACTTAAGTGTTGTCGTACCTGTTGGGAGCCATTATTCTGGGATGAAACATTATTGGAAGCACTGTAAAGAGTCAAAAAAAAATCTATTATAAAACCATGTGAAATATTCTAGGGCTATGCCTACATTAAAAATAATAGTAGCTTTTTTTTTTTTACTGAGGTAGAGTTGACATATTACATTATATTAGTTTTAGATTTACAAAAATGATTCAATTTTTTACTATATTGTGATCACCATGATATAGCTAATAGACAAAAAACAGCTACAAACTTATTTTCTCTTCATGTGATGAGAACTTTTCATATTTATTTATGGCTTATTTTAAAGAAAAAAATTACTGCTGGGTCTTGAAACTAAGAATACAAGATACCCCAAAACGTTTACTTTAAAAAACACACACTTGCTTTTGTGTGACCAGCTCTTTTGATATTTTAATTGTGCTTTAGAGGTATATTTCATTATTAATCTTTATTCATTGGACAATACCTGTCAAAGACACCAAAAAATAAATAAGTAAAGTAGCATTAAACAAAAAACCAACATATACTTGTCTGTTACTTCTTTGTATACTTCTGTCCTGTTAACATTTTACAGTGTCAGCAATTGTTCAGCATTTTATAACTCAAAGTCCTTAGTATAAACTTAAAATCATAAACTTTTCTGTATATCTTCCTCTCTAAATGACTTATGTTTTAAAATTTTAAGTTTAGGCTGCTTTATTCCCCATATCCTTGCCCCAAAGTATTTTAAGGAAATCAACCTATAATAAACTAAACAGAAACAAACTTTGTAACAGCTGAAAAACAATACAAAAAACCCAAACATTCAATGAAATTAAGAACTCAAAGAAGATATATTATCACAAAATGTGTCATTCTAATGTTAAGTATAACTAGTACTTGAGACAGAAAATTCAAAAAAAGAAAAACTCCTTGAACTTGATAAAATAATCTACAGATTTAATGAGAGCACTGTGTTCTACAAAAATAGACACAAAATTAAATACATTCAACCATTACTGTTAAGTTACTGAACCTCAAGGATTATAAAAAGTACTTGAGGTACCTTAAGGAGCTATAAAAGCAGAACACTCCCAGGTATCAGGCTGAAAGATCTCAGTCAAGAATAGGATTCCCAGTCAAGATGTCATTCTAGTCAGAGTTAACAAGCAAAGCTCCTCAAATGCAAACTCTGAATCCCACATCCACAATCCTTTTTTTAGAGGGATGAGAGTAAAACAAAATCTATCTGCTGATGAGAAAGAACTCAAGAATAAGAAGTCTTTGCTAAAAGGCTGGATGATGAAGAATGAACTCATAAATGTCCTACTTTTAATTAACTATGTATCTCCACCCGCTCAATCATTATAACTTTAACTACTTTTGCCTAGGTTCAAATTCAAGCTATGACTCCTCTCTGAACTCCAGGTTCCTCATCTGCATAAAATTGTTAGGATTAAATGAATTAATATTAGCAAAGTACATGGATAAGGGATAAATAAAACTAGCCAACAACAGCAAAAGAAACTTTCAAGCAATTATCAGTTAGTGTAGCTCTATTACCAAGGAAATTTGAAAGTGTCAGACACAATTTCTTTTTTATAAATGTTGCTCATCACAGAATACATTATGCGCTTTAAAATAACGTGTAATCCTAAGCATAAATGAAATCTCATCCACCTGCCTAATACAGAAGTCTCACTTATTACTCTCTCATACCCTGCATTACTTTGTGAAGCTTTCCCTTTAAAGGGTGACGATTAAATGGTGAAGAGTAATAATAAAAAGTGCTTCCAGTAAGTGATGTTAAGTGGATTACAGATTCCTGTTTTTAAACAATCTGAAATACAGAAAGCACTATTTTCTCAACTAAACATATGCTTTCACCACCACCATCACATTTTTGCCATTAACTTAATCCAGATCCTTACACTATTTTTAGTCATTTCCTTCACATCTTTCCCTCTCTCTCTTTTTTTTTATCTTCAAGACTGTCCATTAAGCCTGCATAGAGTGTACTAATAACTGAATTTGAACTACTTTTTCAAATATCATCTCTTCTAAGATACTATATATTAATCAAGACTCATAAGGAAGTTGTTAGAAGGAAACAGTGTAAGTAAAAGATGATTAAGAACCATTAAAAAATCTACTATTCAAATAGTACAAGGTTATGAATCTTTTTAGGGCAAATACTTGTGTTTTCACATGCCTGTTTTCCATGATCCATGAGTAAAACTTCATGCGGAAGAATTACAAGGCACAAAAATGAAAGGGCAGGCATACAAACCCAAGTTCAGGTTCTTGCAAGTGCTATATGAATAATATTCAATACTTTCAGGAGAGCTGGGTCATGTATTTCACTATTTTTACTTTTGATAAAGTATCATCACTTATTATGTTGTTTCTGCTTTTTTTCCAGAACATGCTAAATGATACAAAATTTAGTTATTAAAGTTAAATTAATCTTCATTCTAGGAGACTATAGACAGTCACTTTTTGGTGGAAAATGTGATTTCAGAAAATTGTAAAAAAGGACAAATTCTTACATAGGAACCTTAATTTTTCAATTTTCAACTACTACATTATCACTGTAGTGCTTTGTTTAAAATCTTGCTAACTTTACTAGGTAATCTTTACTGTAAACTATAATATTCTGTCCCTGTGAGGTTGTCAAAACATGACCCACTAAACAAAGGAAAAAAATGCAAGAAATAAGGAATACCTCCAACATTTGCCACTATTTTCTTAAAAGTTCTACTTACTGACTCCAAGGAAATTAAAAGTGTACAGCTCAGAAAAGGCAGAAAATATTGTGATTTTTTTTAAGTCAGCTTAAAACTCATCATGAAGAAAATCCTCTTTTACTCCATTTACCTATTTTTAACAGCCTACTGACACCAGAGGAATCCTCATTCAAAAAAACAGTGCATCTGTAATGAATCACTATCATACCCTGATATTAATAGTTCTCTAGGTAGAAAAAAATGAATAGCTAGGACATGACAAGGTGAGACTAACTGTACTTAGTACCAATTTTTTTTCCCTTTTGAAGAAGCTCTAGTCATGTATCTACCATATAGGAGGATAAACAAATTCAAAAAAGGACCTAGATTTATGTCTGAACCTGGTAATTCTAGGAGACCTTGATACATACCAATGGCTGAGACCATACATTGAAGTCATACTAAATAGAAGTTCTAGAATAGTGATTTGAAAATAGCAAGCCCTCTCCTATGAAACAAACCTCTAGTTGTTCAAAATTACAAAATAAAATGCAAACATCAAGTAAAGACAATGTTTACTCAAGATAATTTACTAAATCTCAGAACTAAATCTTGCACTTGTTATAATTTTCTCTCTTCTTTCATTCTGCCACATTCAGTGTGATGGCAGTTCTAATACAAGCGAATGCAGCCAAGAATATGGAAATAACTGTCCCAGAAATTCGGACTTTGTATCGGGTATGTGAAATACGTTTAAGAACTGAAGAAAGTATGAGAACAACTACTAAAGAGAAATTGTAAAGAAGTAACAAACAGGGGCCTCCCTGGTGGCCCAGCTGGTTAAAGCACAGCACTAAGAAGCTAAAGCCATAACAGTACAAGTTCCATCCACGCCCCGGAGGAGATCCACATGGCGCGGCAGACTTCTCCTGACCCACCTGCTGCTCCCATCAGCAGTGTACTTCATCGATCTGCCTGTTCTGCTCCCCACTCTGTCTCTAGTGAATCCTCCTCTCACCACCCCTGCATCTCTGGCCTGTACCCCCAGTCCTGTATGCAAAAATAAATAAATCTTTTTTTAAAAAAGAAACAAATAGAAATTCTGAAGTTGAAATGTGTAATACTGAAATGAAATGTTCACCAGGACATCATGGCAGATTTCCACAGGCTGAAGGGTAGTGAACTTGACAGGTCAAATGAGATTGTCTAGTAATAGGAACAGAAAGAATAAAATGAAGAAAGTGAACAGACTTATGGGATAATACCATCAAATGTAGGTACAGTCAAAATCCTAGAAGGAGAAACTAAAGAAGCAGAAAGAAAATGAGGAAATAATGGTTGAAAACATCACAAATTTTATGAAAATAACATGGAAAAGTTCCAGAACTGGACTAGTAGTACTTAGACAAATGAATGGACTTAAAAACCAAGTTACTGGAGGGAAAATCTATTGTAATGAGAAAAAATGATATGAACATAAATGCATTTTAAAAAATCCCCAAAAATACATGAAGGAAAAAATTTTTTAAACTCAAAGTGAAAAACAGACCAACTGAAAAGTAATTACTTTAGTAACCTACTCTTAGTAGATTTAGCTATAAAGAAGATAAAAAATAAAATAAAAGTCTTGACCAATGTGTGTAAAACCAACTAGACCCCACAGGTATGTATGGAACATTCTACTCACCAATAACAGAATATACATTTTTCTCAAATGCAAACACCATTTTCCAAGATAAACATGTTATAGTCATAAAGCAAGTCTCAATACATTTAAAGCAATAAAAATCATTCAAAGTGTGGTCTTCTAACACAAAGGAATAAAACTACAAACAACAACAACAAAAAACCCAAGAAAATTAAAAGATATCCATCAATATGTGTAGATTAGGCAAAACACTCCCAATTAACCAATGGGTCAAATACAAAAAATCATAAAACAAGTTAGAAAATAACTTGGGATAAATAAAAATAAAAATAAAAAATTATGTAATATGATTTGTTTTAAGTTTTGCTTGTTTATGCATAAAAGAACCCAAGCTCAAGCCAGAGGTGCTGAAGGGGGTGGGGGCCATGAGACAATTCACCAGAGACAGTAGGGAACAGATCAGGTACTGACTGAAATACACTGCAGAGGAGAACAGTAGGTGAGACAGGAGAGGTCTGCTGCACCATGTGGGTCATATCCCTGGTGGGGAATTGAATTCATGCAGTGGCTGTGGATAGCTTCATAGTGCTGTGCTTTAACCAGATGGTTTATTTAAACTTTTATTTTCCTTTGTGTCAATTTTATGGGGCATTATACATTTGTTTCTCAACTGTATCACCGATACTAAGGAACTTAACACTTTGATATAGTTCAACAAATATTTAATTTATGACAGCAAATACATAAATTCTAAAACACTATGCCAATTACTAAATTGCAAGACTACACCCACCTGAGTTCTTCAGGTTTTGCTGTACTTGCTGAAGGAAGAGAAAAAGAAAATGTCCCATTAGTTTTCTCTTACCTGGTAAACTGTTTCACTATTCATAAAAGTAAATCTTGATTACTTTACAAATCCATATTTCCCAACTACAGACTTATTCAGTTCACAGAAGTACTCATAACATTAAAATCAGTAAAAGCAATTATAGTAATAACTATAAGCTGTAATAAGAGCAATAATAATTATGTGATAATAGAAATAAAAGGTTACGTAGGATAACCTAAATAAAACCACCACAAACTGAAATGATTTCATTTGTGGCTATATATACTATGTATATCTATAAAACATATATATTATTTTAGTCACATCCAAAAATATGAATTTAAATCATTATTAAAAAAAAAAAAAACCAAAGTGCCAAACATCGCATCATGTTAGTTATTTTTGGACTTGTTATAACAATGATATTGGACATATTTAAAATTTAGTGTTGTTTTAATACAAACTAAAATTCAAAATGAGATGTTTTAGTTTAATGAAGTAAACCATGTTTTTTATTACATAAAGACTAATACAGTAAAGAACATTTATGAATTTAGAAGTGTCTATAAAATGAACAAAAATTTATTTAACACAATACTTAATATTAATAAACTACAAAATAATTTTTGTTTAAAATGTGTTTTTTTAGTTCTAAGGGGATTTACAAGATTATTAAAAATGAAATCTGGAAATCAAAACGCAAAAGAAATAAAATTACTGAAACAAATAAAATCTGAACACAAATTCAGAACACTGTTTGAATTGGGATTAACAAAATTTAATCTCAAAAACAAAATAGGCAATTTTCCCTTGTATTTTTTATTAAATTACTTGTGTGGAAACCAAATAAAAAAATTAGAAGACTCCAGTTGATTGAGTAGACTTAAGACAACTTCCTCTCAAGCAAATAATACCAGTACACAATGAACTGACAAAGTCCTCTGGAATAGGACTGCATTTCACCTTTCATTTGTAGAGTTCTCCGAGAATATCGCTTGCTGGGTCTTCTTTCAAAGGATGCTGATCTTCTGGGTTTATTAGTTTTTGTGGTCTGATACTCAGTTTTCCCACTAAAATAATCAGGCATATTTAAAGAATAAAAGAGTTAAGGCCTACACACAAATGAAAGTTTCCATTGAAGTTCTCCTGAAAAAAACCATCCTAAACTTCATCTTGAAGAAGCGACCAATAATACTGATGTCTCCCTTTACCATATTATTATTTCACTCTGTAAGCCATGTGAGATATGCAAATGATACTAATTTTTCTAAAGTATACAGCTCATTTCAAATCATCATAAACATATTTGCAGTATCTCTGCTTTTATGAAACTCTTTTCCCTTCGTCATCCACACACCTCAGTGCAAAGTGTGCAATTAACTCAAGATTTTCAGTTACTGTTTCTAATTGTGGTATGCACTTCGGACTTTTCCAGAAATATTTAAAACTATTGTCATATTCGCCCTGATTTCCATTTAAATTGTTAAAAAAATGTTATTACACTTTTAATACAGGTACAATAAAAGCTCTCTTACATGAATTCCACAGTCCCATCATATTATTGTTATCTCCCATTTCTTCTTTAAATCTTAATGACTGATACTCAAAGTATTCCAAAAAATCACAATCAGTTATTTAATCTCAAGTAAACCAATACATTGCTAATTTATGACTAATAAACAGGGATTCTGTAAGAATAAGGAACTTACAAAGAACCAGAAATATCTGCATGTCTCCAACTATTGAGAGAGACTGAATATGTATGTATGTGTGTGTGTGTAAAAATTCGGGAGTTAATTATATACAAAGTATATGTTAAGAGAGACATAAAATCTATCACACTGTTATGTTTTTACCTGCCTAGTTTCCACACTTGTAAATAGAGGGGTGGCCTAAACTTTTGGTCTCTATGAAGGGAAGAAAGAAAAAGCAGCTAAAAAGTCTAACCTATATCTAAATCGCGATCCCAGTCGAATAAATCCTGATTTATGAGAACTCTTTTGGACAGGGCCACGCAGGCGGAAGAAAGCATGATGCTCCACAGCACATTTCCATAAATGTTTGCAAGCTTTTGGATGATCCAGTCTAAAAACAAATGTATGCTCTTGTTCTTTGCCCTGAAAAGAAAAGGATATGGAGAGGTAATTATTAGGTAGAACACTCCTGTGCCCCATTATTCAGCCACAAATACATCCACATCATTTCACAGGATTAAATAATAAAGCATCTAGTTATCATGTCTGATAATTCAGACATGCTTCATAAATATCTACATAAAAAATAGTTGAAAGCAAGCTATTTATTTTTTCAGCCAATATAAAATTATCCCTAACAACTGTCCCTCTACTTATGTGATTTCACCTCCTAGTGTCATATTTTATACACCAAAATTTGGGATACCTGGATAATCATAATTTAAAGAATCATGTTAAATCTAGCAATATATATCAAAACTTTTTTTTTAAAGATTTATTTACTTATGCATATAGAACTGGCGTACAGACCAGAAGTGCAGGAGCAGTGAGCGGATTCCCCAGAGACAGAGTAGGAACAGAACAGGCAGATCGATGAAAAAGAATGCTAAACATTAACAGCAACAAAAATAGCATACGGAACTCTCATACATTGTGGGTAGATATGAAAATGTTGATAACACTGTGGAAACCAGTCTAGTGTTATCCACAAAAACCCAACAACTACATATCCATGTGTTCAGACCAGTTCTTTTAAGTCAAGAACTGAAATTAAATGAAATATCCATCAAAAATAGGAAGTGTGATCTATTCCTAAAATTGAATACTATGTATAATGGTAAGAATGAACTGAATACAACTAATTACATCAGGGCCAAAGTTCACAACAATGTGAATTACAGAAGCCTGATTCAGAGTATTCACTCAGATTTTATTAACATAAAGTCAAATTGAAGAAAAAACTAATCCAAGGTTTTAAAGTGAAGTGAGTATTTATTTACCCTTGGGGAAGCTATTTGATGAGGGCCACAAAGGAGAATCTGTAATTCTGGAAGCAATCTATGTCGTCTGGGTGCTGATCATGTTAAAATTCAACAAGGTGTACATTTAGTCAGGTGACTACCGGAATATATTTTGTAGTTCAATAAAATTTACCAACAAAAACCAGACATAGAAAAAAATACAGGAAAGTATACTTTAAAGTAGAAAAAAACCTTTTTATGACACAAAACCCAAAATTCATAAATCTACTTTTTTTAAAAGTACGTGGCAAAAAAAATCACCATAAGAATGTTAAAAGACAAACCACTATTAGATAAAATATTTATAGTTACTATGACAAAGAGAGGGGAAAAAAACCCCAGCAATTTAAATGAAAAATGGGCAAAGGATTAACAAATAGACAGTTTGGAGAAAAAGAAATAAAAACTAAAACACATGAAAAGGTTTTCAATATCACTCATAATAACAGAAAACAAAAACTTACAGTTAAATTCCACTTCTCATCTTTCAGATAAAAATGTGATAAATACCCTGGGCCCTCCCTGGTGGCGCAGCGGGTTAAAGCACAGCACTAAGGAGCTTAAGCCACTTCCGCATGAGTTCGATCCCCACCTGCCCCGAGGAGATCCACATGGCACGGCAGACCTCTCCTGACCCTCCCGCTACTCCCCTCAGCGGTGTACTTCGTAGATCTGCCTGTTCTGCTCCCCTCTGTGTCGCTGATGAATCCTCTCACCCTCCACATCTCTGGCCTGTACCCCAGCTCTATATGTATAAATAAATAAATAAATAAATGTTATAAAACCCTATAAAACAGATTTCTGTGCTGATAACAGTGCAACTTGATAGTGTCTCTCTTGATCCAGGACAAATGCCCTTTCTTATTTGACCCAGCAAATTCACCCAAGGAAATGATACTATACTTAGATACTTGCCAATGTTCAGATTATTGCATAAATAGAAGTTAGTATATGGAATATAAGTTAACTGATTAAATCAATTACAATAAATTCATACAACAGGAAAGTATAGATATAGTTTGTTAATGAAGAAACAGTTTATATACTAATATGGGGAAGATTCCAAATTATAGTTAAAAAAGGATGAATAGAGAACAGTGTGTAAGCACAATAGCTTCCATACAGAAATGCAAGTTATATACATTTGCTTGTATATGTATAAAATACCTTCCAAAAAAGGGCCCTCCCTGGTGGCGCAGCGGGTTAAAGCACAGTACAAAGAAGCTTAAGCCACTTCCACATGAGTTCGATCCCCGCCTGCCCCGGAGGAGATCCACATGGCGCGGCAGACCTCTCCTGACCCGCCCGCTGCTCCCCTCAGCAGTGTACTGTGTTGATCTGCCTGTTCTGCTCCCCACTCTGTCTCTGGTGAATCCTCTCACTCTCCGCATCTCTAGCTTGTACCCCAGCTCTGTATAAATAAATTAATTAATTAAAAAAAAATACCTTCCCAAAAAATCCAATAAGTTAATGCTCTATTATTGCTAATGTAAAATGCCATCAATTCTAAAATGCATAATTATTTTGCAGCCTATCAAGAAACTGACCAGTTAAATTATGACCATAATTTTTTTTTTGGTTTCTAACGGCTTTATTTATTTATTTTTCATCTTTAAAGCTTTAATTCTTATTTATTTTAAATTAAATTTATTTATTTAGATTTAATTTACATCATTGCTCATTTTTAAAAAGGGTTTCCAACCACCCTCCCCACCGGTGTAGAGTGTAGTCCCTATAGAACTTCCTCCCCCAACTCACCTGTGCACCATTACCATAGTCCCTGTGCTCTTACATCCCTCCTTCTGATTCCTTTCCCTCCCTGTCCCTTGCAGGATGTCTCTGGTTTATAATTGTCTGTTTTTGTTTTGTTTTTATTTTTTAATTTTTATTGTTACTATTTTTTTCCCAATGTCTTACTTGGTTCCCCTATATTCTCCCTATTAAGTGAAGCCATCTGATATTTTTCTTTTATCTGCTGACTTTTTTCACAGAGCATAATAATTCCTTCCAGCTCCATCCATGTTGCCACAAATGGTATTAATTTATCTTTTTTGATTGCTGAGCAGTATTCTATTGTATATTATACCACATCTTTTTGATTCAATCATCTAACTTTTGGGCATTTGGGTCGTTTCCAGGTTTTACCTACTGTAAGTAGTGCTGCAATAAACATAGGGTTGCCTTTTGAAGTAATGTTTTCATGTCCTTTGGGTAGATCCCAAGGAGTCATATGGTAGCTCCATTTTTAGTAATCTGAGGAACCTTCATTCAGCTTTCCATAATGGTTGTACTAGCTTTCATTCCCACCAGCAATGTAAGAGAGTACCTTCTTCACCACATCCTAGCCAACATTTGTTGCTGATATTTTTTTTGATAGGCATCATTCTTACTGGTGTAAGGTGGTTTATCTCATTGTATGATCATATTTTCTTATAACAGAATTATACTTTATTCTTCTTACAGGACTGCTATTACATTTAGATACAAATATCATTTTATATAAGCGCATACACTTATACCATAAAAAGTAAAATAAGTAGTTTTATATGTGAAGTTTGCCTCTGAATCATTTCCAGCTCACTTGGTGATGATAATAATCATCATCTTCTGTGCCACCAAGAGATTCTTTTCAAATGTTCTATTTTTATCTCTGAGTTTTCTTCTAATCCCTGTGATAGACAATCCTTTCCATGTATCTCAGTAATAAAACTTAAAATTTTCAAAACTGGGCCCTCCCTAGTGGCAGAATGGTTAAAGCACAGCTCTAAGAAGCTAAAGCCACTTCAGCATGAGTTCGATCCCTCCCTTGGAGGTGACCACATGGCATGGCAGACCTCTTTGGCTTGCCTGCTGCTCCCCTCAGCAGTGTACTTCGTTGATCTGCCTGTTCAGCTCCCCACTGTCTCCGGTGAAGCCTCTCACCGCTCCTACACCTCTGGCCTGTACCCAGTTCTGTATGCATAAATAAATAAATCTTAAAAAAAAAAGAAAGGCTTTTCACCTATTTTTTTTTAAATATTTATTTAATATTTCACCTAATTTTTCATCTAATTTTCTGAATCTTCTTTCTAGTCTTCTTGTATTTCATTGTACATATATATAAATCTTTTTAACATTTGTTCAAATTGCTTTTATCTATATATATATATGTGCACTTTTTCAATTTTATTATTTACAAGCAGGATATTATTTATTTTTTTTGAGCCTGTTAATTTTGACAACTGAGAACACAAAATAATGCTCTCATCTCCCAAAATTTCTTATGCTGTTTCTTTGTAGTTAAGCTCCCTCACTGCCCCTAATTTCTATCAATCAGTGACTTATTCTCCATTCCTCCAGGTCTGCCTTCCCAGAAGGCATATAAAATGGAATTATATAGTAAAAGTCTTTTTTGAGTATGGTTGCTTTCACTTAACATATTTAGAAACTAGATTTAACTGGAAAAAAAAAAAGCTAATCATTATAATCATTAGTTTAAATATGTTATTAAGCAATATTAGGTCGATCTTTTTGATTTATCTTTCGGATTAGAGTCTAAAAAGAAAAAAATTATATAAATACAAATCTATATGTATATATATCAGATATAAATGATGAAATAAGAATATTCTTTTATGTTGTATTCTTTAAAGCAGAAAACCGAATTATTAGGATGGTGCAATCTGAAGGAGAAAATTAATTACTAACTATACTGAGTTTCTACTCTATGGCTCTATAAAAAAATAGGCACACTGCTTCTCTGTTAGAGACTTAATTTATACATAACTTAATAGCTAAGTAAGAAATGTTATAGAAGTCCTACCTGATCATCATCTTCTACAACCACTAGGGTTAATTTATTCTTCTTAAAATCCAATCTGGTTATCTTGGGCCTATAATAAAAGGAGAATAGCAATCAGATTTGAAATATATGTACTCTAAATTAAAAGAACTGTTGCTGTTACTTCAAACACATTAATCACTTAATTTCTGAATTATAAGCTGGTAAGAGGAGGTATAACCTTCATAGTCCATAAAAAAATCCTCCAACTTAAAATATAGTTAGCAGAACAGATATTTCAAAAGCAATACCTTTGGCAAAAATGGCATTGCATGTGTATCAAACATTTAAAAATGAAGGAAAAAAGAAGTTCTTATATTTTTATTTCTCCCACATGTCACAGCTTTGATGTTAATACGAGGTTTCTCCTAGCCTAGTATTAAAGCAGTACAAGAAAGACTACCCAGATTTTCAAAAGGCATAAAGGAAAACAAATTATCGATTAGGAACTTCAACCTTTCTCTTGAGCAATTTTGGTTTGAGGAAATAAAGCTTTAAATTTTCTTAATTAAATCTAACTTTCTGGCTAACTTTCCAACTCTATCTCCTACCTATATGAAAATTCTATACAACTTACCATGTTTGAATGCTGTGCTTTTATGAATTACAAATGCCAAAGCAATGCAACTCCACTCTCACTAATTTTTAAATGTAACATATAAAACCTAATTGGCAAAATAATTTGTTTACAAGATTTTACTAAAACAGTTAAGTAAGTTAGTATAACACGTGTGGGAGGAGTGCAGAAGCCACCACTTATTTACCTATTAACAAATATTTAATGCTTACTAAGTGACAAGTACTCTTCTTAATACAAGTGATTCCCACAATTTTATAAGGTGGAATAAAAAATGCTTTTATTTGCCTAAAACATTCTCTGGCCATGAAGCATGTTCCATCTGCCTTCAGGGCAAGCAGGATGTGTTAGGGAATTAACTCTCATGGACTGGATAAATACTCCAGCTCCCTTCACATTCAATGGACAATTAGAATGGTGTCCCACCATTCCTCTCAGGGTCCCTAACAATAACATACGGATGTAAAAATAAATATTTTATTCAAATTTCTGAAGGGAAATTTCAATCTGAAACTCCATCAAGAAACTTCAATTATCAAGAAAGCAGGACATCAGATTAACCATTTAATTCACGGCATCCAAGTATTCAAATAATTTCTCTTCTACACTCTTTTCTTAGGCCGTTACATGAAGACATATATTAGAAAATCAAAAGCACAGGAAGCGGAAAATCTTGGTTCAAAATAAACAGAAAAAAATGGGACCCAAGATGAAAGCTGAAGAACAGCAAGGGCAGGAACCAGTTCCAATAGAAATAGACGAATGAATCATTTACTGCAACCCTTGGGAATCTGAAGTAGCTTAAAGAGAAGACAAAAGCAAGCAGTTTAAAGGAATGCATGGAGTATGTGAGAATGGAGGACAGGAAGAGGGAGCCAAGAACTCTAGGAAAAACAAAAGACTACACAGGAAAAAAACCTTAATTCCGATTATGATTTCAAGAATTTCCAGGGTGAGCAAGAAGACAGGACCGTGAGATAGCAGCATTGTACAAGGGGATTTATTGAGTGCTCTATAGAGATTTTTGCAGAGAAGAAACCTGGAGGGACAGTATCACAGAGACTTAAAGAGGAACAGGACAAGAGAACTTTCTGAAGAGCCCAGGAAAGAGGGAAATTTGAGAAAAGGGGGGTTCCATCTGTCTAGGTGATGGCATTTCAGTAGCAAGGGGGAAGTCTCTGAATCAGACTTCCAAAAGCCAGTGGCTGAGAGGTCTTTCACAGCTATAGGAGTTGTCACATTTATTCCTAACAGATAATGGGTACAATTTGTAATCCAAACAGGCTGGTTCTAAAAGCCTGAAAATATACCCACTGGGCGATGCAATTAAATGTCTGAGAGTTTGATGCTGGTTGACTGAAGAGCTAACAGTCCTAGAGTGCTATAAAAAGTAAACAACATAGGGGGCCAATATACAGGGGTCATTTTAATACAGATTTTTGGGTTTTGAACCAATTAGACAAAATCTAGAGAACTTAGTGGTTATGAAATACAGGTTAAGTCTATACTGACATAAAAGTAAAATGCAAATATAATTTAAAAGTATGGACAATGAAAATGGAACACAGAAAGTACAACTTAAAAGGAGGGGTAAAAGTCTAACATCATCTTCCTCTTACCCTATATGAAGTACAGAATAAAGAGACTGTGGAACAAGAAATACTAAAAATAGTGATTATAACCATATGACAGGACATAGCGTCCAAGTGGGCATGTAATATTCACATATAGACTATTTATATTAAGACACACATTTTGGCATTCCTTAAGGTAAATGGAATCTATGGATAGAAGAGATGTTAAAACTGCCTTTGGAAAGTGGGATTAAAGATTTGTTGGAGTGTAACAGGAGACAGTTCCTTTTCATTACATGCTTTTCACAATTATTTGATTTACAAACTACTTTATGTGTCAACTTGACAAAGTGGTCTTACTTGCTGAAAAAGCAAAATCACAGTAAGTATTTTGACATTAACTTTGCTTACCAAAAAAATAATCCAATTTTGGTTTCTCCTTCAAAAACAAGAACTCCTGTCGGGGTTAGTCCCAAGCTATAGTCATTCCCATCTCTAGCCTAATTTGAGAAGAGCAAATATGTTAGCTTTATTTATATAAAACAGGTTTCACTTTCACACAACTATTTAATTTCATTGGCACACTGAATGATACTAGTTATACACACACACTAACAATCATATGCAAGGTGTTTTCAACAAATGTTCTCAAAATAACATTCTCAAGAAAACTATACTTTTAAGGTGTATCTTCATTGAAAATAGATTGCTATACTCCCTTTATGGAAAAGCTCTTTCCAGAATATAGTCTCCACTAAAAGCTTTAAAAAAGACTGCCTTTCTGTGGAAATTTAAGCTAAACATAAATCACTACACAAGGACTTACCCAAATCCTTGCAAACTATAAATCTGCAATGTTGCTTCCTAAAGTATTTTAGTTTCTTCAGAGACTACTCAGTTTAAGTAATGTGAAATGAAGTGAAAGAATTAAAAATAATTTCAAAATAGGAAAAGCTTAAAACTTTTACATGAAGTTCTAATCATTCAGTATTTAATATTAACCTTGAAAACCACATATCCAAAGTAGCTCGTGCTAGGGCCTCCCTGATGGTGCAGGGTTTTTTGTTTTTTTTTTTTAAAGATTTATTTATTTATTCATACAGAACTGGGGTACAGGCCAGAGATACAGAGGGTGAAGATTCACCAGAAACAGAGTAGGGAGTAGAACAGGCAGATCGATGAAGTACACTGCTGAGGGGAGCAGCAGGCGGGTCAGGAGAGGTCTGCCACGCCATGTGGTCACCTCCAGGGCAGGCGGGAATCGAACTCATGCGGAAGTGGCTTTAGCTTCTCAGTGCAGGGCTTTAACCCGCTGCGCCACCAGGGAGGGCCCGGTGCAGGGTTTTTAAAGTCAGCATTATCATGCTATCACAAGCCACTACAGCACGAGTTTGATCCCTGGCCAGGGAGTTGACCCACATGGTGTGGCAGACCTCTCCTGACCCGCCCACTGCTCCCCTCAGCAGTGTATTCCAGTAGATCCACCTGTTCTGCTCCCTACTCTGTCTATGGTGAATTCTATCACTGCCCCTTATCCCACATCTCTGGCCTAAAATCCAGTTCTTGTATGCAAAAATAAAATAAATAATAATAATAATAATAATAATAATAAAAGTACTCAGTGCTAGCCTACGCAAGCTCTATATTGAAAAATTCCATAGCCTTGAAGGTATAAAATTGTTTAAAACAACACAGTGCTTACCTTAACTACATGCATATCAACTCCATACATTTCCAGCCATTTGGCTTTATTTAGGTAATTGGTTTCAGCTTGTGCTGGTGTCTGACCTCTGAAATTTGAAACATTATTTTAAAAATATAAACATATTTTTATTGGTATATTCTATACCAAATATAAAAACAGAAAACAAACATGAGATCATTTTGTGATGATGTTAAAGAAAATGTGATTAAATGTCAAGTACCTGTATTCCTTCCACTTCTCAAAAATAGCCAACTCCATCTCTTCAGTCTGAATGGGCACAAACCTGAACTCAGATACAAGTTCAGGACTGTGCTCAGCAAGATCAAAGTCACCAAGTTCAGCTACAAATATAAGTTTCACAAAGTTATATTCTGTTAATAAATTTATTTTCAGCTAAATCTTTCTTTAATGTTCAAGATTGCTAACAAGATTAGGACGATTGCATTCTTAAATTATCAGGAATTTATAATATCCAAACCACCCCCCAAAAAAATCAAGCTTGATCTTATTATGCCTAATGTCTATACACAAAAGTCACATATTTGTGGATATACAATTATGTACCACTCTTAATTTATTGGTAACTCATAATATTTAGCTCCTGAAATTCTCTTTCTAGACAACCATAGAAAAATACCTTTTGATTTTGTAATAAATAATACACAACAATCTTGAAAAACTGAGTAGATAAAAATGTTGAGATCATGCACAGAACATATATAACTATAATATGAAATCTCTGTCCTTCTGGAATTTAAAATTATTAATCCCAAAAAGAAAACTGAAAGAACAATTACAAAAAAATATCCGGGACAGCAAGACAGCAGAAAAGAACTGGAGAATAGCCAACATTTATGTAATCAAGTGTGGTACCTCAAAACCACTGGTTTGGAGAAAACAAGGATCCTAATTTTCTATACTTCAGGAAATTTTCCCTTAAAAGGATGTATAATTCCTTTTTAAAAATTAAATATTTCCATTTTGATTAAAAACAAAACACAACTAGTTATGAAAACTACCTTTAAAAAAAGTTATTTCATTTTCTTAACAGACTGCTTCACAAATTTGTGTGTCATCCTTGCACAGGAGTCTTGTTAATCTTTCTCTTGTACGAAAAATTTTAGGCTTGCCATAAAACATAAAAAAATGTAAAAATGTCTTTTTAGTGCTACAATAACAGATATATACTACAAATTTCAGAGGAACTAGAAGTAAATATAGAATCACTTAACAAGTATAAATTATTAATGTTTTGATAATCACTATTCTTTTATCATAGTATATAAGATGCTCTAATTAGAATAGTTCTCCTTTGTAAAATGGATTGAAAGTAAAGTTTTCCTAGAAAGTCAATCTTCAGAAGAAAATAACTAAGTTTAATGGTATTTGATCAGTAAAACATGGTATAAAAGATTGAGTGTTTCATTTATCTTTATTTATTGGAAAGCTTTTTTTTTTTAAAAAGATTTATTTATTTGTGCATACAGAACTGGGGTACAGACCAGAGGCTCAGAGGCGGTGAGAGGCTTCACCAGAGACAGAGTGGGGAACAGAACAGGCAGATCTATGAAGTACACTGCTGAGGGGAGCAGCGGGTGGGCCAGGAGAGGTCTGCCACACCATGTGGTCACCTCCAGAGCAGGCAGGAATCGAACTCATCCGGAAGAAGCTTTAGAGTCTCAGTGCTGGGCTTTAACCCGATGCGCCACCAGAGAGGGCCGGAAAGCTTTTTTTTAAGTTCTTAAAAAAATATCAGAAACTTAAAAACACATGACCAGTACTTCTTCATGGAGTCACTTCTAAGATGAAGACTAAAGCAAACCATGAGGCCATGCCAGTAATTTATGGATCACTGCATTCATTTTAAGGGAAAAAAAATCAGCTGAGGGTGCAATGAATATTTGCTAAATTATCAGTAAACAGTAGACTATTTTTGTTTGAAACCATTATTGATGGAATGTAGCACACAAAGTCAAAGGATCTCGAGAAAAACAAGGAAACATTCCAAAGCAAATCAAAGTAAAAGTCAGAGTAGAGCAATGATACAAGTTTTTACAAAAAGGGTAATGTTTCTTTTCTTGAACATTACTCAATGTTCTTGAATTTTTTTTAACTCAAACAAAAAAGAATTCTGTTTTACTCTAGCAGTCAACATAAGAACTGCTTACCTTGCAGATTATAAGCTGCCAACTGAACAGCTGTATCAAAGGGACACTCTAATCTGAGACCAAAACACAAATGTGTTAGACAAGTCAACTCCACAACCTTTAAGATAAATACAAATAATAACACTTTATTCTGAACAATTTTTTGCATTATCAACTAAGATTTTATTTTTCAAAAGCATTTTCAACAATTCAAAAAATTGTTTTGCTTTAAAATGATACTTACTTCCCACTGAGAATATCTTGTTTTAACTGAAGAACAAATAAATATCTAAGAAAAATAAAAAGCATAAATTTAGCTAGCCCCAGTATGATCTAAAGTGAAAAATAATCCTACTCTTCTAAGTGGAGGAGAAACATTCCAATTATAAAATGTTAACCATAATGTAAGTCCATAAAGGAAAACGTGACTGGGGGTAAAAAAAAAAGCAGCAGTAGGATTATGAGGATGGCAGAATGTCCCCAGGATTCACAGCAAAGAATAGCAAGCCACAGAGCTCAGTACAGCAACCTTAAGATTAAAGCAAATGATTGAGGGCACTGTAGGTCTGATTTTCTACCCTCTTATTAAAATAGCCACCTCATATGTGAAGGAATACAGGAATATAGTTAACTATAAATAATAGCTGTACCTCAGTGGCAGTGTTCAAGGAAGACCTAATAAATAGCACATGCATATGAATCACTGAGTTGGAATAGAAAGTAACTGAATAAATACAAAGGAGGAAGAAGGACAAGTTAGAAACTGAACAACCAAAACATAACAAGAGCTGTAAAGCAGTATTATCTCAATTAAAAAAGTACACATAACCTCCTTTTTATTTATTGAAAATTACTCAAACTAAGTCAGATTATTTATTTAAATTACATTTCATTATATAAAGAAAGTCAGGAAGCAAGTCAATCAAACTCTCAGTGGCCAACAATAAACCATTTTAAGCCTAAGTAAACGTAACACGGTAATGTATTCAAACACATCAGTCCTGTTTAAAGTCCATGAGTTGACAATGATACCTAAAGAAATCACTAGTTGAGGATATTAGGGAATCAACTCTACTCTGAAAACTGATAATGAATCATATAATTTTTAAAAGCATTCTCCCAAAATTAAATTGTTTTCTGTGGTCTTGTTATCATGAAAAAATAAATAAAAACACAATAGCTGCTTGTAAAATGGAAAGAATTATGAAAACAATGTTCTAATATCTTATCAAGTCTGACCAAACTTCTTACTCCTGTGTAATTCTAGATAGCAGTCTTACCGGGTTAGCTCTTCACGGAGATTATTTGGTTCTGAGGAATAAAATTTAACTCGGAGATGCAGACAATAGGGTGAACCAACTACCACAAAGAAAAAAAAAAGAAAGTTGTTGTTTTTTTATATAACTAAATAGTTAAGAACTTTCTGCCAGCAAATTTGTCAAATTTAATTAATTGGGAACAGAAAATGACAGGTTATTGTAGCAATACTTCAGGTTACATTGTAGTCTTAATTAAATCTCATCCAAAATGAGAAATAAGTAGGATTTTGAAATGTACAACCACCATATATTAATGCCACTGTCACCTGTCCTCTCAAGAATGGCAACTCTAGGTTAATCTAACATGAACAGACCAAATACATCAAATTAAAATATTCTGACTACAATCCAACAGCCCTCAAAGCCTATCCAGCTGCATTTCTTGGGAACACAGAGATGCTTACATTATTCATTGTTCATGGTATACCCTCCCATGTTTTCAAATTTACCTTCAAATTCACTAATCTCTGTCTCCTCAGTGGCCCCATTATTTTGTAAAAGCAAAAACTGAGGTACCCTGAAATCTGCTATTAGAAAGGCTAACCTGGATTGCGAATTAGAAAAACACCCTTATTTTTTTCCCTGGCTACTTAGAGGAATAAAACTGACATTTTATGTGAATTGTTTAATATCATTATTCTTAATAGTTACAATCTTAATGTTTCCAAACTCCATATTTTAAAGAGCAGGGCAGATTACCAATCAGGACCATTTCAATATTAAGTAATTACTAAATAAAAGTTAAGCATGTAATAGAAACTCAATCTCTGTACGCCTTTCTGGAAACAATTTGAATGGCACTTGAATTTAGATTACATCAGCTCTCTATATCTGAGAGGGAGGGATTGGTCAGTAGATCAGATTAAAATTAGTTTTAGAATACAGATATACTCTGAAGTAGATTTTCTATGTCTTTACTATCAGGAATCAAAGTTTCTAATACATAATCATATATTTTTGTCTTTTCATAATTTTTTCAGCACATACTTTTTACTTGCTTTTTGATGCTCTTTGTACCATCCAACCAATGCTGAAAACAAAAACAAAATTCAGTCATTAAGCAGATGATATAACATAACATTTTAATCACCAAAAAATAATTTTCAACATGTTTCTGGTGATAAACATTATTATTTCATGAGAAAAACAAAAGTGAGAATGAAAATGAGGGGAGAGGGTTCTCTGCTCAAAAGCCACAGTAACTTAGAAACATGAACAAAGACTGACTTAAAACTAGTTAATGTGAGTTCTAAAAACAGTTCTTCTCCTCCCTTAGTGACAAGGGCCATACCTTGCCTTTAGTATTGTTTTACTATTCCCCATCCCTAAATTGACAATTTCAAAATTGTTAAAATTAACAGATCACAGTTAAAAAAAATTGGTGAAATAACAATGTCACATTAAATATTACAAAGTAGACACTATTCAGAAGTTGCCCACATATTATTAGTACAACCAACAATAACATGAGATCTCATAACCATCTATTAAAAGAAGCTGTTTTTGCTTCTTTGCTTTACAAATAAATGTTAGCACTGTGAATAGCAGACATCTGCTTTCAAGTATAATGGCATTTTGAGCTGTGTAACCTCTTCACTCTGAAATGCGCTCAAGAATCAGTTCCAGAGACACTCACTGATAAGAAATTCTCACTATTAATCCCTTTACTCAAAGTCCTAACAGTGACAGGATGCACTCAGCCAACTAAGATATACATGATTGTGTTCTCTCCAGCATGCTTATAATTCCAAGCATTGTAGGGAAAGAAGTGCTCTTGTGCTAACTAGCTCAGAGAGCTAAGGAATCCAGTTTCAGAACCCCAAATAGGCAGAGAGGGTAAACAAGGCTGCATTGTTACCATCTGCTTTTCTTGCCAATCACTTGCCTCGCCTCTTCTTTTCATTTTTTAAGATCCAAAAAATGAAAACTACCAGTGTGCCAGCAAAGTACCTCTACACACTGAAGTAAGATCCTTAATAAACATTCAAAAACTAATTTCTGTATAATATTTTTGCTGGATTAGAGTATACAGGCTACTTAGTCATCCTTCTTCATCTTTCAATAAATGTAGCTGTACATCTACCTTTAAGCATATTTTAAACTAGCAAATGTTCATTTTCACATATTCTTCCCAGAGAACACTAGACAAGCCAGTAGGCAGAACACATTTAAATATATTAGCAGAAAAGATTTCAACTAAGGGTGGCAAAAAGCCCACACATTATGATAAAGCACAGAAACCCAATATCCAAAAATCCCATTCAACTGTGCTAAATTACCTACTACTGCATGATGCCAATCATATATCGGATATGAGATAAACCTGGTTTTCAGATTATTTTCTCCTCATTTCCACAAACATGGATCTGAGATTTACCCTACTCTCAGATTTTGTCTATTCTACTGCAATGAATAAATAAGTGTATGGCTGGTCACCTGTCCAGTCTCATGCAGGCATTGCAGGGAGAATCCTACACCATGATGTTCATAAACCTGTGCAACTTTTCCTGGAGGCAATTTTACTATGCCTTAAAAAAGTAACTGTTTTCGATCCAGCAATTCTAGAACTAGAAATCATATGGTTGTGTGAAGATTTACCTACAAGAAATTAGAGAAAGTTTATATGTATATATAGACGGATCTATCTTATCTATCTATCTATCTATCTATCTATCTATCTATCTATCTATCTATCTATCTATCTATCTATCTATCTATCTATCTACCCACCCCATATATTAGTACGTTAGAACACCATACAGAGATTAAAAAGGAGGAAAGCACATAACCCAGGATGCTTAAAAAAATTAAAGATGTGTGTATCATCCAATAAAATAATCGATAGGCATACTAAGAGGCAGGAACATACTAAAAACAAGATGAAAAAAAGGTAATTGAAATGAATCCACAAAAATAATCTAGATACTGAAATTATCAAACAAGTACTTGACAGGAGTTATAAATATATTAAAAAACTGAATAAACAAATGACAAAAAGTTTAACAGATGGGTAATCTCACTGAGAATTTATTAGAACAAGTTATATAAAACTTTCTGAATGAATCATAAGGTCTCAAATAGAATGTTAGACACAGGAAAACATAAGATGGGTTAATTAGAAGACAAACAGAGAAAACTTAAACTATATTAACTGCTTAATAAATTGAATTAGTTAATTACTAGTCTTATAATTTTCTAATTATAATTATGTAATGATAAATATATATAATATACAACTACTGTATATTATACATAACATACTAAGATAATTATGTAAGTATATAGTCATGATATATTTGACAATATTAAATTAATAAGTTCAATTATTTATTTAATTAGCCATTTGTTTAATACATATTTAATATTAAAAATATTAAAAGCACAGTGAAAAAATTAGAATAAGAGAAAGCCAAAGAAGAACCTGATGTCAAAGAAAATCAGGGGCTGACTAGTTTACTCACATTCTTATATTGAGTGGCTTAAACTGCTTGGCTATCATTCAAGTGCAATGAGAAGTGATTCAAAAATTAAGTGATGGAATAAATGACTGTTTTTGAAGACTCCTCTGGCTGATGTGTAGAGAACAGGCATGGAGGTGATTTGGGATGCTAATTATGTTAAGACAAGAAAGAGATAGTAGTGATTTTGATCAGAGTTAGCAATGAAGGAATTAATTCAACAGTTTTGACAGTTAACGGTAAGGAATTGATCAGTGGATATAGAAGATAAGGAAGAAATAGAACAAAATTGCGTTAGAAAGTTATAAGAGAGTACTCCTTCATCAAAGGATAAGATGATGAATACATTTTAATAAATCATCGAGGGGATGGAAAGACAATAGTTTTAGTTTTGACTGATTTAAAAACTGCATTTCTGTATGTTTTAATAAAAACTTGATATTTCAATGTATTCTGTATTGGAAATTATTTATCCTTAACTAACATTAGTATTTATACATTCTGAAATGAAGAATTCTGAACATATTCTGTAATATGTGTACCTGTTGTCATAACCATTTTATATCCATGGTAAGAATTATGCTGTTTGAGCATAATATAAAACTAATATGTATCACTTATCCCAATTAAAATAATCCATTAATAACATTTATTTAAAAAAAAGGGAATGAAAGCAAATACTTAAGGACCTGGAAAATTTATTTATTTAAAGATAGGTTATAAAATAAACTGTTATGTCAAAATGTAAGAATTCACACATTTAGACAAATGCATTTTCTTTTGGAATGAGACAACCCATAACAGAACAATAAAGATGTTATCTCAAAATCACTGAGAAAGTCTGCTGGTCAGTTTTTCTTCACTGTGTTCTCCTGTATTTTCAACTTACTCATATAATGAGCACATAATACCTTAATAATCATGGATCCTTTCATTTGATTTAGCATTTTATATATTATAGTTTTTTTAATTTTATATATTATAGTTTTTTTTTTTAGAGAAAGTCTGCTGGTCAGTTTTTCTTCACTGTGTTCTCCTGTATTTTCAACTTACTCATATAATGAGCACATAATACCTTAATAATCATGGATCCTTTCATTTAATTTAGCATTTTATATATTATAGTTTTTTTAATAATAGTAAATACAATGAGGTCAACATTTCCTCCAACAGAAACCCTGCAGTAGGCCATCCCACTTATACCTATTTTCTATCACTACATCCCAACTCAAGATGCTGCTGAATTCCTTCCAGTTTCTTCAGAGAAGAAAAGTCAAGTGTACATGTGTAGAAGTGAGCACATGAGCACATGTGTAGACTGGGTAAAAAAAAAAAATCACCAGGCTAAATAAAAACTTTGACAAACTAATCTTCAGGAATATACAGAAAGAAACAAGACTAGTTACTATTTCAAGAACAACTCTAAAGTCGTTCTCTCTTTTTAGGTATTTTAGTCTCTTTTCTACCTGTATTTAAGAGTTTAGAATATCTGTACACCCTTAAAAGATGAACCCCAAACTAAAGTGAAAGGTATTTTAAAGTGAGATTTGGGAGTCCTGCTTGATGCTATTCTAGGGAAGGTCTAAGTTCATGTTTGCATATGCTTAGGTCTGTTTCCCTTTATCTCCTCCACATTCCAAGCCCAAAGACTGGAAAATTCAGAGCTTAGAGACAGGCACTGTAAGTATTTTCCTGAATCAGGCGCTATAGGAGTTGAGTTTAAATTACATTAGGAGATAAAGGTGAGAGCATGCAGATAGAGATTCTTGAATGCTTAGTGTGAAACAATATGGTTCTATTTCCTCCCCATACCTTAAAAAGCAAACAAACTCCCTTCTAATTTTCTACTTACAAAGCCTAGTTGATAAGCTTAGATATTAAAGAACATGGAGAGCCACATTTCTTTCCATCCTATTCAGCTGCATGAAACAATTACGTATGTGTCTTAAATACAATCACAAAACAACAAATATAACTGAACCAAAGAATCACCCAGGAAAACATTAATATACACAAACTCTCATCCAAGGACCTTTAGCCAAACACATTATCTGTAAACAAGTCTTCAGATAAATGATTCCTGACCTCCAATAGCCTACATAGCTTTATACTAAAGAAGTACGCCACTACTTTTGCTCAAATGGGAGAGACTGGAGTAAAAAAATTTTAACCATAGTTCAAAATAATTGTCTACCAAAGTGAGTACAGGCTTGAGTACAGGTTTATGCATTGAATTAAAGGATTGTTTTAAAGCAAATTTTATATTTTAAGCAATTACAAAATTGTTAAAATCTGTGCTTGTAAACACAGAGGACCAATTTATAGCAATGCTTAAGCTAATTGAAAACTTTTCAAAAAATCTAAATTCTATTATAAATTCTTCCTGGGTGATTACTTTTTTTGACATTAGCAGTCTCTATTATAAGGCATTCCAAAGGAAGACACAGATGAGTCATTAGACTGTATCTTACATTGAGCCTTTATTTTTTATGCATTCTGTAAGGTTTCTAAAAGCTAAATCCATGATGGAAAGAGGTAAATTAACTAAGTTATATATTTACATATACACATA